GGGGACTGGGAATGAGGAGGTGGGGCTGTGAGACCCAGTAAAGCCCCTCCCTCTGTTTGGGCAGGATACTGGAATGGACATCCCCTCGGGGGCAAAAGGGCGCTCCGGGCTTCCTGTGAAACACTGCTCGGGATTCAGGCCAAGCTGACCCTTGATCTTGGGTGTCCGGACTGTTCTTCTCTGGATTCCCAGTGCAAGAACGACCACGGGTCTGGAGGCTCAGCAGGTCCCCAGTGTGGCACCTGAATGGGGGAGATTGTCTTCCGAAGCCCCACGCCCTGGGGAAGCCGGATGGTGTCTCCAGAGCCCCGGAGCCCCAGAGTGGAGTCCTAGTTCCAACCTGGAAGGAGACCAGGTCAATGGCACCAAGGATACAGTGGGGCAGTGACTTTGGCCCTGGGAGGATCTGGTCCCTCCCGGACACAGAGACACCACGGCCCGGCGTGCAGGCTGTGGCAGGAGCTGGGTCCTGCCTGCTGGCTGGAGGAACCTCACAGAGCCTGCCACCACGGGATCTCTCAGCACCAAGGCAGGGCCTGCCCAGACCTGCCATGTGCCTGCAGAATGCAGGACCCCACACCACCACGGAGGAGCCAAGCTCCAAGAAACTAGGCCTGGGCCTTAGGGGCACACCTGCTCCTCCCCTTAGATGCATCCAAGGCCCATCCCCAACAGCCTCCAGTGGCCAGACTAGCCTGTCTGTGGCCCACGTCAGGCAGCATTCTGGTCCTTTCCAGAGAAGCCCAATGCTCTCCAGCCAGTGAGCCATGTGAGGAGGGCTTCCACCGCCGACTCTGGTCACGCTCCTCCCAGACTTTGAAGCAGGCTCTCCAGATGGCCCTGGTCTCTGTCCGGTGCCAGCTTCTCGCCCCAAAGCCGCTGTGGCAGCAGCGTTCCTCTGGGGGAGCCCAAGTCTGTATTAGCTCCCCGGGCAGGGATACTGTGCCCCTGGGTTAGTTACATCATCTCATGTCAACTTGACAGCTAGGTGGAGTCTAGTCTGTCAATCAGTTCACAAGGTCACACCCGCCAGGAGGATTCTGGGAACTTCCTCTTTCTCCCTGGAGGCAGGACACACTCTCTGCTTCAACTTCCTGTTGACAATCCACAGGGAGCCACGCCGGTGGCAGCCAGAGCCCTGGACATGCGTCCACTGCCAATGTATCCACAGGACTTTCCACCCACGGGCCTGTGATCTTCCTGCATTCGGCATCATTGCATGTGCTAGGTTGAGTCTAAAGAGGATTCGTGGGCTAATATTGAACTTATAGACTTGATCTCACAGGGCTGGAATGTTTTGTTGATACAGTTACTTCTTGATATAAAGTTCCCGCTTCCACATATCCAAGTGCCAATGGCTTTGTTTCTCTAGTCAACCCAGACTAACACAGCCCCCATAGAACACAAGCGGATCATGTTACAGTTCTGGAAGTCAGAAATCCCAGACCAGTTCCCCTGGATTACAACCAAGGACGTGGCAGGCCTGCCCTCTCCTCCTGGCGCCTCCGGCAGAGCCCGCTTCCCTGCCTTTCTCAATGTCTACAAGCCACCTGCACCGCATGCCTTGGCTCCCGGCCTCTCCCCTCAGCCAGGGCAGCACCTTGACCTCTGCTTCCACCTTCACAGGAAGACCGAGTTACATGCTGGGCTGCTAACCGCAAGGTCAGCAGTTCAAAACCACGAGCCAGCTCCTTGGGAGGCGTGAGATTTTCCACTCCTACAGAGACACAGTCTGGGGACAAACGGGCAGTTGTGCCCTGCCCTACAGGGTCCCCTGTGTCAGCAGACTGATGGCAGTGCGTTTGGCTTGGCCTAAGAACGAATGCACAGGTTTAGAAGATCAGAGTGTGGACATCTCTGGGGGGAGAGGGGGTCATCATTTCCCCTGCCATGGCCAAGGGCCCCCTGTCCTCCTGATGTGGTTACTGGGCCCTTGAAGAGGGTCAAGTCAAACATCTGGCTGGCCGGGCTATGGGAGAACTGCCATTATGTCACGAGCCATGTTCCACTCTGGAAAAGACCCTGAGTTACTTTGGGGTGGATGTTTACTGACGCGAGTTACGTCAGAACCACACGGCTCCAAGAGAGGTGAGGGAGACAGAGATGTTTCCCAATGCCGGGAGAGGACATCATGGGGGCAGAGGGATGGGCCGGGGACGGCAGTGGGGACCCAGAGGGAAGGGCCGCTATCCCAGCAGGGACGTTGGCCCTTGGCTCAGCCTGGCTGTGTGCGCAGGAAATGCTGGACCTCCCGCTACCAGGTCAGGGGTCCCCACCCACCAGCAGCTCCAAGGGGAAACACTGAGCCCCAGAAACCCTATGCAGGGTCACCGTGAGTCAGAATCCACTAGATGGCAGGGGCAGGGGGGTTAGGGACGGGTGCCCTGCTGAGGGCTGATTGGCCGGGCTGTTAGGCCAGCAAGCTGCACCCACTAGCAGCCCAGTGGGCAGTGCTGTGGCAGCAGTCAGCTTCCCCAGACTCGCAGTGTTGGAAGTCCTGTGGAGCAAGTTTCCCCTTTCTGACGGGGTCCGTGTGTGGCACCGACTGCACAGCAGAGGCCTATGTTTGGGCTTGGGGGGTGGGCAAGGGCATTCCCAGCGCACTGCCTGGGAGCAGGTGGGCTCTGGGAGGCTGGAGGTCAGCTCAGTGAGGAAGACTGATGGTGGACGGGGTAGGAAGCGCTGGCCTGCAGGGCTGAAGCCCGCCCCTACCAGTGGAAGCTTCCTGGGTGCATTGATGGGGCACCCTGCACTTTCAGGGGGGCACCCAGCCAAGGGTGTAGGGCGGGGGCTGGGGCAGCAGAGACGGCCGAGGGTCCAGAGGGAAATGGAAAGGCAGAAAGGAGGCTGAGGGGGCACGTTTCAATGAAGCAGCCGGAGAGCCCACAGGAAGCTGGGAAACGCACTGATCCACAGACAGATGGACGGGTCAGGCAGGACACGTTTTGCTCTCCAGGAGACAGGGTGGAACCGCTTCCGGAGTGCCCCCACCCATAGCCCGGGGCTTGGCTGGGAGGGTAGCAGACAGCCTGGCTCCCCTGTGGGCTCCACGACCCAGGGGATGAGGGAGTGGTCAGAGGGCTGAGCCGGGGCCTCAGTTGAACTGGGTCTGACCTCAGGCTGGGGTGGCTCAGGGGAGATCCTGGCTGTGGGAACGAGGAGGGATCCAGGCCAGCTTGGGGTCCACGTTGCAGGACCGGGTAGCACAGCCCTGGACGTGGCAGCCAAGGCAAACAGGACCGCTGGCCACACGGGGAAAGGAGGCTGTGCACCTGCTCCTCCCTTGAGCCAGAGAGCCAGCTTCTCAGAGCCCCACTGCAGGGCGCGACCTGGGGACCCCCGCTTCAGCACGGACTCCCTGCCTCTAGCCACCGCGCTGCCAGCTCAATTTGGGAAATGCCCGGGCAGGGGGCAGGCAGAGTGAGTCAGCCGTCTGCCATGGCCCCTTGCCCCTGCCCTGACGTAGGCTCACACTGGCCCTCCCCAGCCCATGGGGCCCCTCAGCCTCTGGCTAACACCTCAGGCTCAGCTGTGCAGGGGTGGTAGTTACATAACTCCAAGTCAAGTTGATCTGCGGCATGTGGAGGTGGAGTCTAGCCTCATGGCACCTCCTTATGGGTGCGACTCCCTCATAGAGGGTCCTGGGAGCCTCCCCTGTGGGCGTTCTCCGTCCAGCTGGCCTGCCACGTGGAGACCCACGTGCCCTGGGATTGAGTCACCGCCACCAGATCCACCAGCCTTCGCACCCACCGGCCTGTGATCTCCCTGCATTCTGTGTCGTTGCCTGTGGCTGCGTGAGGAAGTCCCTCAAGAGGGACTTCAAGTCTACTGCATGGGACTTAGACTTGAACTGGACTGAGCCAGCACATTTGCTTTATAATTACTTCTGGATTTCAAGCTCTCTCTTACACATATATGAGCGTCCCTGGACTTGTCTCCCTGTCCACGGCCTCACGCAGAGGGGATGGTGTAGCTGAGAGCCTGGGAGATACAAAGTTAACCAAAGTCCTGCTCACTCCCCACTGGCTCCAGCTCTGTTAGGGGAATGTGACATGTGACCCCAGGTCTGCAACCAGGACCCCCAGCCCCATCCCTCCAAGTTCCAGCAGGCTCTGTGCTCTGAGCCCAGGCCTACGGAGAGTGCGCAGGCCCCTGGGTGGGGCAGAGGGGCCGCTCAGGGCCGGGCCTCGCTCCACATTGTGCACAGCTGGGGCAGAAACAGGATGCAAGCAGCCAGTTTGGGTCACTGTTTATTGGTCTCTCCTGGCCATAGCGCCCAGGACGTCCCCAGTGCTCCCCCAGCAGGGATGCCAAGCTCCTGCCCTCGGCCTCGGTGCTAGGATGGAGCCAGCCAGGTGAGGCACAGACCTTCCGTTCCGGGTCTGCGCTATGCTGCTCCAGGAAGGGCAAGCCCAGCCTGGGCTCTCCCCATCCTGGCCCTCCAGACTGGCCGCCCATGGAAGCAATGGGAGCACCTGAATTCCAGAAAGCAGGATCAGTCAGGCACTGGAGCAGGCTGGAGCCTGGACGAGGTGTCCACAGTGCCGCCGCCGCGCTGGGGTCCAGACCTCCGGATGTGCAGGAACCGGGGCCTGGCGGGCAGGGTCAAAGGTCTGCTCCTTGCTCCTTGCACAGCCTGAGCTGACCTTGTGGCTGGCCTGGGGAATGTGGGGAGACTCACCTCCCACAGAAGTCCCTGCGCACAGCCACGAGACGGAGGCCCAGTCCGGGCCGGCTCTGCAGCCAGCTGCCCACCAGCCCCGGGTGTTTGGGGTCCACTTCCAGGAAGAGGCTTCTACGTGGGAGACATTTGGAGTTGTCTGCAGGGGCTGAGGCTGCCTGGCTGGGAGCAGCAGGACCAGATGTCTACCTCAATGTGCCCAGGACACCCACGCACCCATACCCAGAGTCCTTCAGGAGCAGGGGCGCCAGGGCCAGGATGTGGACAATGACGTCCATGCCCTCCTTCCCGCCGTCTAGGGCCGCTAGGTCTTCATAGCTGAAGTGAAGACAGTTGGGGGTGAGTGCTGGGGGAGGTGGGGGCCTGTGGACTCACCGGGGCCTTAGAGGCAAGTCTGAGGATCTAGAGGAGGGGGCCTCTTTCGGGTGACCCCTTGTGCTTGGTGAATCCCATTCCGGCCAGCCCTGGGGCAGGGCACCGGCACCCCACTCCCCCCCCCCCCCCCCCCCCCCCCCCCCCCCCCCCTCCCCAGCAACCCAGGTGCTGGGGAGGCCCTCCGGGTGGGCCCCTGCTGGAAGCAGGAGGGCACAGGGCAGAGCCTGGAGCAGGCTGTTGGGGCCTGCCTTCTGCTCAACTTACGAGCCTGGGTCAGGGCCGCCCTCTCCACACAGGGCTGCCTTCTGTGCAGTGAGGCTGCATCTGTGTGTGTGTGTGTATCTGTATGTCCGGGCTCAAGACCGCACTATCTTGAGCACCGACCCGGCCCCACACAGCACGCACGGAGGCACGGGGGTCCGGCGGCTCCCTGGTGGTCTGAGGTGAGCAGGCATCAGCGGACCCAGGCAGGCCTTAGGTTTGGAGGTATAACCTTTTCTCCCCATCCTCCCCACTAGACCTTCGGAGGCCTGTCCCCCAGCACCTGCAGATCTCAGGAGCCAGCTGCCCCATGTCCTGGTGGGACAGGTAGGGAGGGTTGCTGACCAGCAGGTCCACGGGGCCCCAGGGCAGGAGGGGTGCCCAGTTCCTCTCTGTGGTCAGAGGAGAAGGCATGAGTCAGGGGCTGGCCCCACCTGCACTATGCACTGTGTCCCCGGGAGCCTCGTCCCTGTAGGCGGAGCATGCAGATGAGGGCCCAGACCCCCAGCTGGAAGCACCCATGATCTGCCAGGACGGCTCTCATCAGGAGTGTCTCGGGACCCTCCCCACCCCACCCCACCCACGCCCAGGGAAGGTGTGCGAGGGCACCTAGTGTCACGTCGACGGGGGTGATCTGAATCCTGCGGTGCACCTGGAGCCTGGAGAGAGGGGGGAGGGGCAGGTCTTCCTCTTGGCTATAAGGCCCAGAGTGATAAGGACCCCTCTGGGACCACTCATTTATAGCCCGGTAGGAATCTGCTGGCCCCACTTCCACCCTCACCACCCAGTCCAGCAGTCGGGACTTGACATCCACAGGTTTGTTTCTGAGAGGGGCTTAGATTAGGCCCAGAGTCTCACCCCCCACCACCCCGTGGAGCCCTGGCCACAGCCCCCACTACCTCTGAGCATTCTCCTGGGCCAAGCAGATGGCAGCTTCCCCCTTGTCCACAGCAACGGCCCGGCTCTGCCCGAGAACAGGGAGGTGCGTGGTCGGAGTGACCACGTGGGCCAGGCCATGGAGCAGAGCCCTCCCCCCCCAGCCCAGGAGAGGAGGGGAATGGGCCAGGGGGGTGACAGGCTGCCCTGGGTCACTGCCGTCACAGCCTCCACACAGAGTTGGCGCTGCATGCAGGGGGCTCACCTGGGGGAGCTGGCTCAGCAGGCTGAGTGCGATGGCTCCCGACCCACAGCCCACCTCCAGGATGAGGGGGCTGCCTTCAACACCCCCTGCATGCGGCCTCCGGGCCTCCTCCTCCAGCACCCAGGTGACTAGCTCCTGCAGACCAGATTAGTTGAGGTCAGAGCTGGTGGTGATCTGCCCTTGGAGGTCTTGGCACAGATGCCCCAGCACAGTCAGTCGTGTGTGTGTGTGTGTGTGTGTGTGTGTGTGTGTGTGTGTGTAAAGGGGCAAAGCCAGACTGAACTCTCAACTCTGTGGGCAGCTGGGTCCTGGGCAGACTGCCTGGCCACCTCCTTGCCTCAGTTTCCTCACCTGTGAGACTGCGCACAGTGGGGATAACCCACTTCATCGGGGGCAGGGCAGGAAGCCTACATGGAAACACACTCACAAAGCACCCACAGGACCCACGCAAAGCCTCCCGCGTCATTCACCAAGTCTAAGTTCTACGTCCTACTCCGGGGGCCCCGGGGTCTTAGGAGCTCATGAACAAGCGGCCACCTGAGGGGCAGCCACTGGTCCCTCCCATCTGGTATGGGCGGATGCTGGGGCTGAAGATGTGTGGACACAGTTCATCCAAGAGACTCCTGGGCTGTGAGAGGCTCAGCCTCCGGCCCCAGACCACACCTGGACAATGGCCAGCCACCACCAACTGCCCCAAGAGGGGCTGGCTGGAAGGCTCTGAGAGAGCAAGTGGGAGGGAAGGAAGTGGACGAAACTCACAATAAGCAACGGGGCTGGCTTCCTAGTCAGTTAGACACTGGTGGACTTCCAAGAGGCCATGACCCTCAGTCTCCTTCAGGCCCGGAGCCACCTCACTCCAGGTGCCCCAGTTCCCACCCACACAACAGGCAGGTGTACAGGGGTGACAAGGACAGGCACAGCATTGGAAATGCAAAGGCCAAAGTTCAGAAGGGTCAGGACAGGAGGAGGCCTTGAAAGCGGACACACAGGGAGCGAGAGGCAAGTGCGCTGTGGGAAGGAAAGCGGCCCTGCTCTTGGCTATGACCCGGTTCATGGACCCCAGCTAAGCCTTGACCACCTTGGAGGAGTCCTGGACAGCGGGGAGCTCCCAGAGCTTTCCCCACGGGGGTCCAGGGGCTCAGGCCATGCCTACAGGTGGCAGGTAGCCAGCTCAAGGTGGTCAGAAATCACGCTTGGAGGGGAGGGTCCCAGGGCCAACTGAAAACAAGCTCGCTGCCTCGAGTCGATGCCAGCTCACTGGGGCCCAAAGGGACGGGTAGGACGCCTTGTCAGTCCCCCAGACTGTAAACCCGGCCTCTCCCAAGCCAAAGGACCGGGAATTCCCTGATGAGGTAGGAGCATTGGCTCTGCCCACACGCCGTGGCTGATGGCTGCAGGCCCATGGCAAGGGGTAAGGGGCTCAAACTGGGGGAGGGGGTTGGACCCCGACTGTCCCGCGCCTGCCTTGGTGGCAGAGGGGCCCCGGGGGAAGGAGGGGATTTGAAATTGCTGCTACTTGCAGGGCTGGCATGGAAGTCAACGGAGCTGGGCTGCGGTGGGCGGATGGGCACTCCCCACTGCCGACACCGCAGAGGGTTCCAAACCCAGGGCGGGGTGGGGAGCAGGGAGAGGGCAGATCGGAAACCCCACCCCAAAAGGCTTCTGGGGTCCCAGGTCCAGGCTGGACTGGATTAGAGTCCTGGGTTCAGGAAGTGAGCATCTGAAGGGCTGGCCACACCCTCCAAGGAGCCCCACTCTGTCTCCACCAGCTCCCTCCCACGCCCTTCCCCCAAGACTGAGGCCCGAGTGGGGTCCACCTCGCTCGTCAAAGCCAAGGCTCCTTGATGGGGAGGCGGGGGTTTGTCCCACAGCCCGAGCCTGGCCTCAGAGGGGCCCTGGGCTGCTTCTCACCCATGGAGCCTCTGAAAGCAGGCCCCTCAATACCCCGATGTCACCAGCCAGGTCACAAAAGATGTGCTGAGTCCCCCAAAGCATCTCATCTTTTGGGGCTCCCCCAACCCAAGGGTAACAGTCCAGGGCAGCAGAGATGGGCCGGTGGCTCAGGCTGCACTGCCGGAGACGCTGGGAGTAGCAGACAGGACAAGCGGCCAGGCTGCAGGCGAGAGCCTGTGGTCTCCGTGGTGAGGCCACATGCAGAGGGTGGCAGGGGTCATGGCTTGTCAGGGCCGTGAGCGTCTTTTGGTTTCCCAGCCACAGGCAGCCCTGCCCTGGCTGGAGGAAGACCCTTCAGCAGCCACACTGGCTAGCCACCTCACCAGACCTCAGGACAGCCCCAGTATGAACAGCCAGCCCAGGCGGGCGTGGGGACCCAGACGGGGCTTCAGGCCACCCCTGGTGCCCTGCCTCTCCCTGACCCACCAGACCACAAGAGGCTCATCCTGTCTGTGGGTTCAGGGGGACAGGGGTAGAGACTACCCCCAGGAAGACCAGAAACTCTGCTCTCCCCCATTAAGGGGCCTCCCACAGGCCTGAAGCTGGTGGCTCTTGGGGCTGTGGGTCACAGGCCTGGGGCACTTTGTCCAGGTGAGCCTGGGTAGACTTGGACACTGCAGGTGGGGGAGGGCGCAGACAGCCATGGGCTCTGCCTGAGTCACTGACCCCTCCAGATTGTGGTCCAAGAGAGCTCACAACAAAGAGTAGGAGAGAGACCACGTGCTGACGTTGACCTTGGTGGGGTGGCACAACCCTCCTTGAGGTGGCTGAGCTGGTGAACTGTGTGGTACATGAATTACATGCCCGCCTGCAAACCACAAGCAGCAGGCGTGGAGCTCACTCTCCAGGCTGGGCAAGGTGCACTGAACCCCCAATGCACCCACTGCCACCCAGGGACTGGGCCATCTTCCCCATGGGGAACCCCCATCCGCCCAGCCCTCTTGCCTCCTGCAGCTTTGCACCTCAGAAACCCGATTTCCCCAGCACACACACCCCCCCACCCAAGCCACGTCCGCTTGAGTTCTTGGTAAGGCAGCCCTCAAAGTGGCTTCACACGGGCGCAAACCTGACAACTTCTCAGAAACGTCTGTTTAAGTGAGGTGGGGTCTTGGCCTCCCAACCACAGCCCTGTCCCCTCTTCGGGGCTCTTAGCCGACTAGACACACCCAGGAAAGTGGGGGCGGCGAGCATTTGGGAGCCGGAACGCCACACCCAACACACAGAACCCCAGGATGCATGGCTGGTGCCGGGTCAGCTGCGTGGGGACTGGGAGGTCACCACAGTGGCCACCCTCCCGTGCCCTGACCCTGGGCTGCCTTGGGGGAGCAGGACCTCCTACCAGAGGTCACACAGAATGAAGAGAAACAGGGTGGCCTACCACAAGCCTGCAAGTGGCAGGTCATATCATGCGCTGGACCCCATCCCAGGTGGGACAGCCCAGGGGAGGAGGGAGGAGTGAGGCTCAAGGACCCCCTAAGGACCCCGGGGCTGCACCCGTTGCCCTACCTAGCTTCTGCAAGGCCCCAGGCCCCAACCTCATGTAGGGTCTCCTGACTGCACACGGAGGCTGGAGGAGGGAGGGCCTCCGAGGCCCTGGCGGGGCACATGGATGGACCTGACCTTCTCTAGGAATACGTGTGTGTACCTGGTACCTTTCCAGAAACACCCACCTCCCAGCCTGCTCCACCAGACGGGGGCTGCTCTCTCAGCGCACCAGCTCCCTCAACCCCCACCCCTTGAGTTGCTCTCTTGCTCCCAGCTCTGTCATCTCCAAGGTTAGGGGGCCCTAGACAAGCCACAGAAAGCACTCCTCCAGGATCAGAGGCCCGGCCAAAGGGCAGCACGCAGGACCGTATACCCCCTGTCCTAATGGCAGGGCTGTATACCCCCTGTCCTTAGTTTGGGGACAAATACAGGTGATGGCTTGAGCAGAGTGGATCTACGAGGAAACTGCGTCACAAAACCTCTGGTCTAGAGGCCTGGAGAGGGTAGTGGCCTGACCAGGTCACACAGCCCAGAATGGACCTCCCTAAGTCCATCTCGCGCCCCTCCAGGTCACCTACACATCCCCAGATGGGCAAAGAGTGCAGTTTCCCGCAGGCGGGGTGGACCTAGGGGCCTCTTGGGCCCTGCCGTAGGCTGGATAGGGGTGGGAGGGCAGGACAGTCTACTCCACGGCCTTGGAGACCCTGCAGGGACAGGCTCTGCCCTGAACCCAGCCGTCGTGGAGCCCCGGCGCCCCCTGGAGGACATTGAGGGAAAGACCGGTGCCCGAGTGACCACACTCTTGGGCAGCCTGCCCTCACCTCTGTCTCTGGCCGAGGGATGAACACTGGAGGCGCCATCTTCAGAGTGAGGCCCCGGAAGTCCCACTCCCTGAGGATGTACTGCACTGGCATCCTGCAGGGGTGAGTGGGAAGAGCCAGACCGCCGGGCGGGCGGGCGGGCGGGCGCGTCAGGGACAGAGCCAGAGCTGGTGCAGCCGCGCTTGGGGTGCGATTGGCCAAAATGCCTCCCAAGGCCTGTCCCCATCCCTGCTTTCTCATGAACTTCTCTGAGCCTCCTCTTGTCATTCCCTCACCCCAACACCTGCCCATTCTTTGGATGGGCTGGATAGGGTGAGGGGGACCCCAGCCCCTTGGGTACTCACCTCTGCAGCCTCTGACTACTCAGCTCCTGGATGCGCCCGAGCTGCCGAGGGCTCAGGGGCTGGCTCCGAAGTGCCGGCCTCAGGCTCTGGAACTGACCCCACAAGGAGGTGAGCAGTCAGTTCCAGGAGGCAAAGGAAGCAAAGGAGTCCGGCTGCTTCCTCCCCTCTGAGTCCCAACTCTGGCAGAAAAGCCAGGCTCTTGTCCTCAGGGCCTCCCTGTCCCCACCCTGGCCACGCCATTGCACTTAACTGTTTTAGCTCCAAGGACGTGCGCTACAATGTACTCGCTGGACTGCCGGGCCTCGGGGATGCCTCGCTCTTCAAAGACTGCTGTCCAGTGGCCCACCAGCTCTGATGCACTCACCAGCCCAGTCAAAGGCGAATGGGGTGGCCAGGAGCTGAAGGCCCGGGTGGCCCCTGCCCTTCCTAAGCCACACAGGAGGACCCCCAGCTTCATGTCTTCAGGGATGGATCTCCTGACAGTTCCCAGGTCCCCAGGCCTTTCTTGCGTTGCCAGCTACTAAGGTTGTTCAGAAGGTTGTCACTAGGCCCATACATGTGCTGATCAGATCACAGGCCCCAGCTTCCCCAGGTGGCTCTGGTCCTCAGCTATAACTGCCAACCTGGGGGGCAGGGGTGAAGACAACACAGTCACTGACCTTGGGGGCCCAGACTTGCTTTCCAGCCACTGACTGAGAGGGGCCGCAGGCCTCCCCCCTTTCAGACCTCCGCCCGCCTATTAGGTCCTTCTTTTGGGGACCAGTTAAGTATGCTCTCTTGATGTCTTGAGTTAAAATGGGATGGACCCCCTAGCTCAGTTCCTGCTAATTTGTGGTGCTGGTGGTGGGTCAGGGCATGGTTTTTGTGGTCCCATGGTCTGTGTTAGACCCTGCCTGGATGGCCTTGAACAGATCATAGTCCCTGAGTTTTTGTTTCATCGTGAAACGGTGAGAATGACGCCAGTCTGGTGGAGAGCCAATGAACGATGGGTGAGTCTTTGCTTGGGAGGCCGGTTGCTTCCAACGGCTCGCACCTAACCCACAATCCCGGACGTCAGCATAAATTGCCAACCCCAAATCTCTCCATTTCCACTCGGTTTATATCGCCACACACAAGCTTGACTAAAAATGTGCATTAAAATCGGCAGTCTCCTTCCCTTCCGGCTAGACCGCGATCTAAACACGCCAGTAGTGAGCGACTGCTGAGCGTCAGGTCTTCCAGACAAGTAACCCCACTCCAGGGACTCTGAGGGTGGAAGCCAACTGGGAACTGTTAATCCAGCTAGGAGCTGTCCCAGCGGAGCACGAGCGCCGATCCGAGACTCCAGGGCAGCCCCGTCCCCCCCGAGACGACCGAGGCTGGAAGTCAAGGGCACGCCCTCGCAAGCTCCCGCACCCTTAGGGACTCCCGGCGAGGTGGCGTCCCACTCGGGACTGCTTCTCCCTCTACTACGCAACAGGAGCCAAATCCGGCTCCAGGGCACAGTAGTTCGGGGGCCCCCAATCGGACCCCCACCTCCAGTTCGTACCTGCCCGAGGGGCTACCCCGTGCGCCGTGTGGCCCGCCGGCCACCGGCCGCCCTGCAGGGAGCAGCCTTGCACGTGCGGGTCCCGCCCCGAGCTCCCTCGGACGCGCTGCTTCCGGGGCCGGCGCAGCAGATGAAAGGGCCCGGGCGGACCCCACGGCCCCGGCTCCAGAGTTCCTAGGGCCGGTGGGTTCCACCCGGGAGCTTCCACAGCGGGCTGCCCGGGAGCGAGGCTATCAACGCCAGGCCCACCACGCCCGCAAGCCCACGGGTGGGGAGAGGTGTAGAGCTGCCTCCTGGAGCCCGGGCCGGTAAGACTTGGCGAAGGTCACGGCCGGAATAAGGCTCCAACGCACTAGGATAGCTCGGAGCTGGCGCCTAGGGGCGGGGCAGGAAGTGCACTGAACCCCAGGGCGCGCAGCGACCGGGGCGTGTCGGAAGAGGGTACCAGGCTCGGGGGCGGGTCCCGGGGCGGGGCTAATGGGCCTGGGGCGGGGCTAGCGGGGCCCGGGAGGGGCCCAGTGGGGGGTGAGGAACCCAACGTCTAGTGGCCTGAGCGCATCAGAGAAATGGATCCCAGAGTTCTCCAGTTCCTTCCGCTTTGAAAGCGGAGACTGACCCGGGGTCAGAGTGGTTAAGGTTTGGAGCCAGCGTGCTCGAACCCCAATACTGGAAACAAGGGTTCGAATCCGACTCTGAGCCAATTCGCAAGCGACTTTGTCCAGGTGCTCTGGTCTGGGGGTGGGGGGGGGCTTTCACTCTTTACCAGGGAGTCGATCCCGACTCATAGCGACCTTGAAGGGCAGACAAGAATGGCTCTGGGTTTCCGGGTTTCTTCAAGTTGCAAAATCCTCCTTACGGAGCAGAAAGCCTCACCTTTCTCCCGCAGAGTGGCTGGTGGATTTGAACTGTCGAGCTTGCAGTCAGCAGCTCAGCGTGCAACCCTTTTCGCTGATCCCTGGTTTCTTGAAGTATAAACTTCAAGGCAAGGCAAAGCCCTGCAAAACGTGGACTGCCATCCCCCCTCACCGAAACCTGCTGGGAAGGGGACCCTTATGAAGCACGCAGCCGCCCCCCCCGGGGGGGGGGAGGTTAGTCCCAAACAGCCAGAGCCACTGGCATCTGCCTCTGTCACAAGCTGTCCCAGTGATGCACACAAATTCTCTTTTTTAACAACGGGAGGGTTAGAGGGTGCCTGGGGGTGGGGGTCGGGCCCACTCGTGTGACTGTCTCCCCGAGAGCAGAGAATGAACGCGGCTGTGAGGGGCGTATGCTGACCGTCCGGGGTCTCCGTCCCAATCATAACAGCACCCCACACCACCTTCCTCCAGAGCCCGCCCGCCTAGCTTCGCAGGAAGGCCGGCCCAGGGAGATGAAGCAGCTGGCCCAAAGTCAGGAGAACCTGCTCCGAGCAGGTTCTGCCTCCCGGCCCCGTGCTCTCGCCGAGCCCCCTACGTGCGCCCACGTTTGAGGGCACAAGTCCGTCCCCACGGCGGGGTCCCGGGCCTGCCTACGGGCCCCAGTTCTGGCTCGGAAAAGCCTAGCCGCCAGCCCGCCCTGCCTAGCTTCTGGGGCCTGGAGCGCGAGGAGAGAAGCGCCGGGATCGCGATCCGGCTCCCGGGTCCCTCCGGGGGGCGGAGCCATATCCAAGTGACAGGCGAGAAGGCCAATGGCGTGCAGGATCGAGGCCTGGCAGCCAATCCGGGAATAGGGGCGCCGCGGGCTGGAGCGCCTGGACCCCGGAGCTGCTCTTCGGCCCCACCCCACCCCGCCGATGCCAGCCCTGCCTACCCGAGCCCGGCGGGCGCCGGGAGCCGGGAGCGGGGCGCTGTGCCGAACCTTGCTCGTGACTCGGAGCGTGCAAAGAGGGAGGACCTCGGGTCGGACCGGCCACCCCTGTCACCGCCAAGCCCGGGGGTCCCCGACCCCACTCACCCTACTTTCCCTCCCGCCCCCCCGCCCCCAGCCTCTCCGACTGAGCTCTGCGCCCCGGATTAAGTAAGTGCTGAGGTCACCGCTTCTGTGCGAGCATGCAGGAACCCGAGTAGCGGAGGCGGGGATGGGGACTGGGGTAAGGAGGACTGGAGCGCCTGGCTAGGAGAGCCGCACTCGGCTCCTCTCGGGGGTCGCCGCACCCCACCGTTTTACCCCAGGCTCCCTCCCTGACCTTTGGCAGTGGTGAGCAGGGCCCGTCCCCTTTGGAAGGAGGCGTGAACCGACCCACAGTGAGAGTGCGGCTTCCAGCCCAAGGTCATGGCTGGAGGCAGTAGCAGAGACAAGAGAACTTGGGGTCTCTGGAAGCCCGGCTGGAGGCAGAGGGCGAAGAGGGCCGAGTTTAGCCCCCACACCCTTGTTCTCAGCCGGACTTGCCCCTCCCTAAGGGGCTGTCATCTGTGTGCACGCTCTACACACACGCATGCACCGGCTTGGCCAGGCACCCTGCACCTACCCTGGACTAGAGGTCTGTGGGCAGCCTTCAGCATCCTCTCCCTTCCTGCTTTCCTGGAGTCCCGGCCCACCCGCCTGACCCAGGGCTCGCTGGCTGGGAGATCTAAACCACCCCATGGCCTGGGCCCATCACACCCTCTGCTCCCAGGGGAGTAGGGACACTTCAAAGTGGCTATGTCCCTGACATACTCACCTTTCTCCTTGGGTCCCTGACCACCCCTTGCCCCACTATGGGGAGTCCACTGTCCCCAAGAAACTGCTGAGCTACAAACTCTCTTCCTGTGCCTGCAGGCTGAGCGGCCACGCCCCCTCCGCACACCCCACTACCCTCCTCCCAGCAGACCTGGGCCACCACCCGGGAAGTTGGCCCAGAGTCCCTGTGACTAGCCATGTTGGCCCAGGGAGTGTAGTGAACATTTGCTGTGTGTGGAGGGAGGGGGCTGGGCTGAACTAAGCCTTTTTCTTTTTTTATTTATTTTTTGACATTTCTGTAACCATATGGCCCAGTAAAGGCATTGCTCTTCATACCCTAACTTTAACATCTGAGAAACTGACACTCGAGAGGTTACAGTGGCTTCCCTCGCCCCACCGGCCAAGTGGCTAGACTGGTGTTCAAAGCCGCTTCCATCCACCTGGGGCCAGCGGGTTCCTCTTGGAAAGGGCATAGCTGCGGTTTTGGGTTTTTTTCTCTCTCCAAGCGTGGGGGTGGGTGGGGTGCAAGGGAGGCACTTTTATTTTGCAAATCTACACTGCCTTGCCCCTCCCCCGGGTCTGACCACCAGGTGGGATCGCTGTACCCACAATAGGTGTGCATAACTGTGATCTTGAATTCACTCAGAGCCTGAGGTGTTGGCGGGGTTTTCTGCCGTGTGAGGTGGGGGGCACCGAGGTTCCATTCCTGGCCCATGCACCTCACACAGAGCACTATCACCCGTCTTGCAGGGGGGCCTTATGTGCCCCTGTGATGTTGGGCAGATCTCAGGGGCGCTTCTGGACTCAGGTAGACTAGGAAGAAAGGCCTGGTGATCCACCCTGAAAACTGGCCAGTAAAATCTGCATGCACCACAGCCGGCTGATCTGCTGCCCACGACAGGGACGGCGGCCAACCAGGCGGTGTTTCCATCTGCTGTGCACGGGGTCCGTGAGTCAGAGGCTGACTCACAGCCGCTAACGGCAGCGGCAAACCCACACAGGAACCTGAGCTAGAGAAAGCATGTGGCCTGTGTCCACCAGACCCGGTCCGTGTCCTCAAATGCCCTCTCCCCTCATGTCTTTGGAAACCCACGGGATGTCATCTCACTGCCGGGACACCGCCCTGAGCCTC